TTTCCTTGCTCTGGATAAGTGCTTTTGGAAATGATTCCCTGTGGAGCAGACCACTGTGGGCTCAGCAATGTTTGGGTGGTTCATCATGCAGCATGGCATGTGTCCTAGGAGGTCTTTCCTGCTGCCCTTTTTCTTCTTACTCAGCTAATCCTTCATTATCTAGGTCTCAGCTTGAAAATTACCTGTTGAAGAAGGTCTATTTATAGAGCTTACCTCTAAGTATGCAAATAAACAATGGTTGCTGCAATCACAGCCTGCCTAGAGGAAAAAAAAAAAATGTGAAATAAACATTTAGGTTTTTTGTTATTTTGTTTTGTAGCAGGAATCAGACTGGGGACCTTGAGCTTCCAGGCAGGCGCTTTGCCACTGAGCTATCTCCCCAACCATTTAGGTTTTTGGAAACAATGTTCAAAATGTATACATCACTGTTTTTTTGGGTTTTTTTTTAAGACAAGGGCTCACTATGTAGCCCAGGCTGGCCTTGTGCTCACCGTGTAGCCCAGGCTGGCCTCACAATGATCCTCCTACCTTAGCCTCCCAAGTACTGAGATCACAGTTGTTTACCACCTCAACGAAATGTTTTTCTTTTTATAAATGTCAAGAAAGGATCTTGTTAAGTCACTGAGTTGTTCAAGATAGGCTAGAACTTGGCATACTCCTGCCTTAGCCCCCCTAGAGTGCTGGAACTACAGACATGTATACCTCTAGCTCTTTCTAGATTTTCTTGCAGTTTAATGCTCTGCCCCTGACTGTCTAGTGTATGCTGTCCATGCTGTCGGTCTTATTTTCTGAGCCTTTCTTTGCTAGTGCCCAGGCAAGTACTGATGCTGCCAACCGAACCACTCTGCATTTTCCACCAGTAGGCATTCATTCCCAGGCCCTGTATTGCCCCAAGCGCTTGGTACACACTCTTTGCTGGGAGCTCTTTAATGTCGGTCTTTCCCATGAAACAGCAACTCTGAAATTCATCAAGAGCTCAAGTGCTTGTTGGCTTGACTAATGATAAAAGTAAACACCTAAGTGACTAGAGGAGAAATCAAGGGTTCTTCTAGAGTGATAAATGGGACTTTTAAAAATAAAAAGGAGGTAAAAGACTAAATAAAAATGTTTTCTTATTGTAGTGGTTTGGGGTTTTTGCAAGGTGAACAATATAGTACAGGATACATTTCATAATATTAGTTTATAAGGAATCTCCCAAGAACCATATACAAGTGCAGGAAATCTATCCACACACTAAGTACTAAAGACTCCAGCTAAAGGCCTGGATCCTCATATCCTGTATGAGTCCAAATGAAAACCTAAAGCTCATAATGATTTTTTCCAGGTGTCCAGTGCAGCGAAGAAACGGGCAGAGGGATAATGGGAAAGGGGCTTTATTATCTTTGAGGACACAGAGAATGTGGGGAAGATGAGGAATTCTCTGCAGTTGAACAAAGGGAGGCTGAGGTTTTATGGCCTTTGCTAGGGGTGGAATTTGAAGGGGATGTTTAGATACACCTGAGAGAGCTGATTGGGGTCTTCCCTGAGGTGACCGGAGGCGTGAAAGGAAATTGTACCCTGGGTTGAGTTGGAGAAAAAGTGGGAGGTGGGTTTTTGTTTTAAGGGTATTGGCCATAACCATAATGATTTTAGCAATTCATACTAGGGTCAGAACCTATCACGTAACAATGCCTCCCACAAGTCCAACTGGAGGGCTAGAGCCCACAACAAAGTCTCATGCAGATCTGCTTCACGGATCTGTGCAGGAAAGACCCAAAGGTCAGTGGTGGAAGCTAGGTAGTCTGCCAGCGGGATCTGTGCTAGCAAGCAGAGGGATGTGAACTGGAGCTAGGAAGCAACATTCAAGGTAAGCACCAAAGCTCCCCCAAAAGTACCACAGCCATCCTCAGCAACAGTGAGGTCCCAAGCTCCTCCAGTGATGAGGAAAGCTTAGTTCCCATCAGGAAAGCCAATGCAACAAGTCTCTCTATGAGGCTGAGCAGTGCACCATCTTCCCCTCTGGAGGCAGGAATCAATGCTCAAGAAGAGGACGCAAGCTTCTCCAAAGTTCATCAGGAAAGCCAGCATGACAAGGTTCTCCAGCAGGAAAGGCCAAGAGAACTAGCAGCTTCCAACAGCTCCAACATCCCCAGCAGTGTTTCAGCAGCTCCTCCTGTTCTGCCTTTATGCTCCTGGCAACAACCCTCAGGTGGCCTCCTGCACCCAGCACCATGCTAGTTTAATTCAGCTGGGTGTAATAAGTTGACCACCTGTTAGAAGTCCACTTACACAGCATTAATTTAATCAAAGACTGAAAAAGTTAATTGATGGTGCATGCATTTCAGATGAGGTCAATTGATTTTCTCTAGATAATTCCTAGTAAAATATAACACAAACATCATAACAAATCTGTTTTCAACAATTTTTTATGAAGCTCTTTCATAAAATCATGGTCAGCATCCAGCCCTCCAAGGCACACATTCTCCAAGATGACCCTGGCAAAAGGCAACACCACAAGTACTGAAGTCCATACTGTTACGGGTTGCTCAGAATAGGAACCAGATCAACCAGATTGGAATTTGGAAAGCCGTTTATTACTGAGCTCATCCCACCCCACCCCACCCCCATCAGCTCTAGCAGGAGAAGACTGAAAGGCAGCTAGCCCAGGAAGCAGGGGAGAGTTTAAAAGCTGGAACCACATTCCATTTGGTAAACAAATTCATTGTCTGACACATACTAATGCTTTCAGGGTCGTTGTGAACTCAAACTAAATTTCCTGGGGCTTTCTTTTTGTTTTTGGTTATCTTGCACCTGAGTACTTGCGTGCAGCCTTGTATAGCCCGTGGTTACAAGAAGTTAAAGCCCATTTAATTTCTTTTTGAAGTCATCTCTATAAGCAAACTTTGTTAACAGGAACTGGTGAGGGTTACAGGAATTTTATCTTAGCAAACAGCAAGAAACAGCCACTAATTACTAAACAACTTAGAACAGTGGTGATTATACATTTTTTCACAACAGAAAACACAAAATTTACATTTATAATCTAAAATGTGAGTTGACCCATTACACGTACAGGATACAAAACTCAGGACATGGGGATGACTAAAGGCACGCAGGAGTGATCCTGCCACATCCCATAGATGTGGCCGGTCCACAGACTCCTAAGACCGTTGCTAGGATGGCCACCATCTCCTGTATGCTGTTTCAACTGCTGCAATTACAAAAACAAAAAGGATTGCTGGAGGCCACAAATTGACAATAGCTAATTTGGATACTTCCCTAAGGGATAAATGGGGACTTGGGGTTATTGGTATCAGTTTTGAGATTTCCCGTTAACTCTAGGGGTGAGCCATCCTCTCCCACCCGCTTAGACTAAACTAAGACCACTTAGATTAAAAAATACCCTCTTGAGTCAACCCAGGATTATCCATTGCCCCCCTGCAGCATCTACCACTGATCTTGAATCTTCACCTTGCCGCTCCTATCATTGCATTCACCCAATAAATAGTGGCTTGCTTTGTGTGTCTTTGTCTCTGCTCTGCTCATCCTGAGACATTGATCTCCCAGCCCCCCTTTGTGTATTACAATATATAGTAAAATCGTATCACTTTCCTGGTGCCCAGAATATTAGACTGGCTCTCACCATCACCTCTGCCAGTATTTAGGCAACGAATACTTGCTGAGTATTTTGCAAAGGATTCCCATTGTGCTAGGTAAGTACCCACATGAATATCCTCCTAGACTATGCCCTTAGAAAGTTTATAGTTCATGTTTAGTTGGTACTAAATTGCAGTTGATAAGAATAAGAAGTTCTGATATCCTATAGCACAGCAGTATGACTATAATGTTATGTAGATATCCAAAAGGTAGAAGAAAGGTTTTTGAGAGCTTTCATTCTAAAGAAATGTTTGAGAAGATAGTGTAAGTTTTTTTTCTTTTCTTTTTTTGTGCAAAAGAAAGGAGAGAGATAAAAGAAGCGTTTATTGTGGTGCTGGAGGGCTGCAGGAGAATGCAAGAACTCTTGGAGGAGGGCGCTGGGAGCAGGGTTTTTTATGGGGTCGAACCGGGGTGGAGTTTATGTGGGCAGGGGAAGCATCCTATCTGGAGAAGATGAGAGGGTTGTTGGCAAGCACAGGTGAAAAGGAGACCAAAAGTCCACTGGGACCAGAAGAAGAGCATGGAAGTTGGCCTGGGAGTGGTATGTTACTGTTTTGGGACCCAACGCCTTGTTGGATCACCTGCCATAATGACCCTGGAAGAGTTCCATCAGGGCAGAAATCCATCAGATACGTTTAATCTAATGTAACTATTACATGTATACATACATTAAAACATTATCCCATCAATATGTATGTTTTATTTTTATATATCTTAAATAATAAAAAGGTTATAACTCCAGGTCTGAGGCAGACCTTATAATGAGACCAATAGCAGTAACATAACTTTATGTATGTCATTTTGGATGAATGAAAATGTTATAAATACGCAGGACAATACCCACTATATCTATGGAAGAAATTACAGGTACATAAAATAAAGGCTTATAAGAAGATAAATTAAGGCCTGGGGATTTAGCTCAGTGGCACAGTTCCTAGTTGGCAAGGGTGAGGTCCTGAGTTTGATTACTGGTGCCAAAAAAAGAGCTTAGAAATTTTTAGTTCTATCACAGCCAGTGGAAGACCTATCTGTTCCCTGGCCAGGTTCTCAGTTGTCCAGTGGCAGTGTGGATCCTGGGCTGAGGCGGTGTTCCTGAAGGGCGTGGACACACCCAGGGACTTTGCATGAGGAAACATCCTCTTGGCACAAAGGGAGATTGCGCCTTGTCTACACAAACCAGTGCAACGGGTGTGTGTGTGTGTGTGTGCGCGCGCGCGTGCATGTGTGTTGTGCTTGTCCCCAGGAAGATATGGAGAACTTATGTGTGTTAATTCAATCACTTAGCTCACTTGATTTTTATCCAGTTACAAGTAAGGGTACAATTGTAGGTTCAACCCCCAGAGGTGATTGTCACCTTTACACAGGAAAATCTCTTCATGTGGCCATGGATGATGCATCTAGCCATGAAACACAAGAAAGAGCAGGTAACTCTGGAATCTCTTCCAACATGACCAGGACATCAACTCAGTCACATTAATGGTGTGTAAGTACTATTACCGTAAGTAAATCAGAGGTGACTGGGATTTCCTACCATGTGGAAAGGGTGAAATTCCCTCAGTTGGCCTTGATTCTGGAAAAAAAAAAAAAAAATTCCCTCAGTTGTACTAGGAAGATGAGCAACATTTTCAGATTTACATACATATGTACACCTCTCTCTCTCTCTCTCACTTCATATATATATACATATGGAGTGAGAGAGAGATCTCCTATGTACCTATGCAAAAATGCAAATATCATTTAGCCTTGAATAAATGATATATATGGATAATGAATGGACTTTACTTTTACCAAGTTATTAATGACAAATTTGAGTGAGGTTACGTAAGAATTCTGAACGACTCGACTTTTGTTTTCACTCTTATTTTCTGTGTCAGAGAGGGAAATGTAGCTTTTCTCCTGTGTTGATCAGTGGAACACTACACTAGGAGATGCCAGTTTTTAGGTTTTCTCCATCATTCTTATTTTTTAGTTTCACTATTGTGTTTTTATCAAGTCGATGTTTAAACTCTGATTTGGTACTTAGATTTTTTTTTTTTTTTTTTTTTTTTGGCTTGCTCAGGCTGCTGTAAGCGCAGGTATGGTAAGGCATGTGGAGCTGGGGATCGAACCACTGTCCCCTGTGCCTGACTGGGTTTGCTGGAGCAGGCACTTAAACAAATGAGCTAACCTGCAAGCACCCTCAGTACTTAGTTTGAAGCTACGGTATTATTCATCCCCATGTCCCTAAAGTGAAAACTTCAAGCATGGCATGGTTAATCCCAGCACTTGGGAGGCTGAGGTGGGAGGATCGTTGTGAGTTCAAGGCCAGCCTGATATAGTGGCTGAAATCTGTCGCTGCTTGAAACCTGGAAGTCTTCTCTTCCTGGATTTCCCTTCCTTCTCTTGCTCATTCTTGAATACTGAAGACTCAAACCCTCCTTGCCCCTTGGGTTAGAGTCCAGGGAGATGCACCATGGTGTCTAGCCTGGGAAAATGACTGGAAGTATCTGCATTCTTTATCACCTTTTATATCATAACTATTATTAGTAATAAACTTTTGACATCCTCTCGATCTGAGGTGAGCAAATACAGGATACTCTGCAATTTAATTCCTCTCTCTGGCTCAATTTTTTTTTTTGTACCAGGTGTCAAACAGCCTTCTGCTTGCCAGGCAGGCACTGTGCCTGCTGAGCTATAGCTCAGCCCAAACAGTAACATCTTTTCCTTTTTGTTACTGTTGTTTTAGAAGGTTCCTGGCTCACATTTATATTGCTTAAATGTTAGAGTAAAAGTCTACCTCATCAAATTAGGTGACGTACAGGAAGCTGCAGTGTAGCTATGGCACAGTGGTCACAGTATTATACACTATACACGGGCCAGGGAGATGGCTCAGTAGAATAAGCGCTTCCCTTGCAAGGGCCTGAGTTCAATCCCCAGTTCCACCAAAATAAATAAATTAATTAATTAAATAAAAGTGTAAACACTACACAAGCTTACAACAGTACAGAGATTTTCTTCATAACAAATGTATTGATAAATGAGATCTCAGAGAAAATAATTGTGGAGCAGAAGACCTCTTTTTGTGAGTACATAGTCTGGAGCCTGCAGCCGTGCAGTATCTTACCCTTACCTGTTTTTCCCCTCTATATCCCTAGTTGGTTTTTGTCCTTCTTCCCTTGCAAGCAGTTGTCTTTATTTCATCATTTAGACAAAATGAGCATTTAGAAAGCTGATGAATCAACAGAAGCCAGAAAATTACATATATATATACGGTATGTTTAATAACAGTCTGCAGTCTGATTACTGTAAGTCCAATTTTTTTTTTAAAAAATGTGCAAACAGTTTACATGAATTGCAGCCTCTGTTCTCTCAGCTTTGAGTGGAAAATATCCCTTTGAAGCTGTAACAGGGCTTGTGGTACGATACTGATTAATCTTAGCTTTGTACTTAGGCTCAAAATGTGGAAAATATATTTGAATCAGAAAGACCCTTTCTTGGGCTGGTGAGATGGCTTAGTGGTCTAAAGCACCTACTTAGAACAAGCTTAGCAAAGCACAGGGACTGCGGTTCAATCCCCCAGCACCACATGCCGGCCCGCCCCGCCCCCTGGTGGGCTGAGCTGGACACACACACACACACACATACACACACACACAAATAAAATTTTTTTAAAAAAAGACCCTTTCTTCTGGCTTTGTGCCACTTTAGGAGTTTGATAGCCTCAGACACCTCCCTTCTAAGAGTGGTGAGGACTGTTGCCTTATAGAATAACAAAATAATTTGTTGATCCCCGCTAGTGGACCTACAAGAAACCTCTGAAAGAAAATGCTGTTAACTAGTTGGTAGCAAATTCAGTAGAGGCTCACTTCATCTCAGCCACTAGACCACTGAATGTTCCCTCAAGACTTTCAGATCCTGATAAAATGACTTGGCAATTTGGTAATTATTTAATATTGAGTGCCAAGAAACAATTGAGGTTCAGATCCCACCAATGCAAAATGCATTCAGTTTTCCTCCTTTGATTATTTAGGGAAAAAGAGCAGATGATTTTGAAAGAGGCGCTTCAGATTGTAAACTGACAGTATGGGCACATGGAAGCAAGTGTTTCCTTAGATCCGTAGCCCCTCTCGCGAACTGATGAGCACTTGTGGGGGTGATGACACGAGAACCCTGACATACAGCCTGTTGGTCAGCACCTGCCACAGTCCGCTGCATGTGCATTTGGAGGCTGAGGTGCTGGCCGGTCTTGTGGGACTGAATTCAACCCTGTGTTGTGGCTGCACAGCTCTCTGGTGGGGTTTAATCCTGGGACTGGCAGCAGCATTTGGGGAAGGCTGCAGCCCTCCAGTGTCACCTTCCCACAGTTTCTAGGTGACTGCGGGTGAGGCTAGGGGACTCTGAACTTAGAGAGTTGTAGGAACCAAAACTAAAGCTGGTCTTTTTCCTCATCACCCAGGGACATATGAAATTGTGGGGAGACACAAAGGTGGTAGCTGTTGTGGTTGCTGAGAACTGCAGCCTAGCAATGGGGTTTTCCTTGAAGCTGTGTTGGAAGATGGGACCAGGACAGAAAGGCTGAGTCTCCAGCAAGTATCCTGGAGAGGCCTGAGCCAATGAGGATGGTACCCAGTATTTCCCCCTGCCTCAGGAACCTAACAATTATCTTTTTAAAAAAGTTGCCCAAGTTGTAGGAAGACCTGTGCTTAAGACCACACTCTTGAGAGGCTGAGGTCCAGTTGCTTTGTGTTGCTCAGAACAGCAAGTGCCTCCATCCCTCTCATGGGAAGCCATCATTTCTACACATTGAGCACCTACTGTGTGCTAGGAGCTGCTTTTGCTGTGACACAGTCCAAAGGAGCAGGGGCAAGGGAGAGGCCTGTTACTTCAGGACATCATCCCTGTGTGGCCCCACTATGATCACCTTCAGCTGCTGCAGTGCGACCCAGAATGCACTCTGCTTACTAGTACTGGTGCGCACATTTTGGAGTGGAAATGTTTTGCTTGGCATTCAACAGTGTGGGGGAGATTCCCAGGGGGAGATGGCGAAATCACTGCTTTCATAGTTGACCTGGTGAAATCACAGGGTGAGAAAATGTGGCTCATGAATATTTTGAAGTTGATCAGACTTGGGATGGTCAAAGTAGCAAGCTTCCTAATAAACTGATACATAAAACAGAAACTGACTAGGCTTTAACTTTCCTTTTCCTGTGCTTTTGTGGCTGAACAGATTCCTTTTACCATGTTTACCTTTGATGTGTCAATCAGGTGAGGTACCATTTATGTCTCTAAGGTGTTGTTTGCTTAATGCCCAGAGGACAGCTTCTTTTGCATTCATTGAGGGTATCTATCCTGTGTTCTATTTTTCTTCCCATATACTATTTATAAGTGATTAATATTTTGGTACAGTTCTAATTTTTTCCATAATTTTATTGATAAACAAATAACAATGAGACAGTTTCAAATCAAATTGGTAGGACAGTTTCTTTTTTCTTTTTCTTTTCTTTTTTTGTGGAACTAGGGATTGAACTCAGGCCCCCGCGCTTGCCGGGGAAGCGATTATTCCACTGAGCCCTCTCCCCAGCCCTGGACAATTTCAATAATTAACACATTGCATACTGTCTTCCTAGTGGTTATTTTGTGTACAATATGCAGACATGATATCCTATTTACAAACTATTAGAACAAATCCCTCTATTCATTAAGAGAATGTAACTATATATCTATCCTAACCATTTTGAATACACAGATACAAAATGCACATTCATCTGTATCCCCTTTTTTTGTTAAGTTCCGTCATTTGAATATTATAGGTGTGTTAACTCAGCAAAATATTCTAAAAGAGTCCAGTAGCCCATAATAGTATTGGGTCTTCCGCTTGACTGACAGTGTCAGAAATTGTTGACCTGAGTCCCCCACAGCTCAACATAACAGCATGGCTTTACTTCTTATACTTCGTTTTTATACTTTTCTGCTGGATGGTTAAGACCAAGATAAAGCAAGACCTATGCAACAAGAGTTGTAGCTTTTGGGTCTGATAAGGTCAGTGAAATCCCCTCAGGATTTTTCCTGAGATACATTTCTAATTTTATATCAGTTTCAAAAATGGGAGAAATAGCATGGATATGCAGTGCATCGTAGCAGGCTAAGCTTACAGTTAGGGTTTCCTGATGCCTAACCCTTTGAAGAAGTCACTGGTTTTTCAAAGTTAGTTCTAATTTATCATTGCAATTTAATTAGTATTCTTATGACTTAATTGGTCACTAAGGTGCCAATTAAAAGAAGAAAAGACCATTATACACTAGAAAAAAATAATTGATTATGTTTCCTAGAAGTAATATCCATGGGAGATTTAGAAATGTTCTGTAAAATTGCTGTCACATCCCGGTGACAGGTGGTGCATCGCACTGGGAGCCAGAGGCAGGAGGGTCATAGCTTTGAGCCCAGCTTGTACAACTAGTGACTTAGCGAGACACTGTCTCGCAATAAAAAGTAAAAAGGCC